TGGTTCTACAGACACTACCTTTGTTATTTGATCCTAATAATCAACTGACATGAAACGCCACTTTTTCGACATAGTAAATAAAAATTTTATTAAAAGGAAAAAGAGTTACAATGAATATAAAAAACTATTCAACCAATGCCAACAAAAGAATATCATGTGAGACAAAGATCCTTACCCTTCAATAAGACACAAACGTCGAAGATAAAAGTAAAACACTCCAAAAGAAAGATGGGAAAAACTGCCTGATTAAACACAAACTTTTCTCATGGGACATTAAACAAGTATCTAAGAAAATTAAAAGAAAAAAGTCTTGTTATCAAGAAATTAGGATGTTTAGGATCAACTTGAACACTATTGGAGATATATCGGAGTCTAACATGTTAAGATAATTTGTTAGACTAACTATTGTATTCTATCTAGGACTATCTTCTTGTTTTTCCTATATTTATATTAAACATGTTAAGATAGTCCTATGTAATCCAAAGCACTTGCATTCTACATCTATAAATACATGAGGCTCTGTGGTCTTTCATCTCTTTGAATATTCATCAATTTAGTTCATTGAGTTTTCTTTCTACAGCTCGAACATGGTACCAAAGCCAATGGAGAACCAACAAACTCAGGAAAACAATCCTAGTGGGACCAACATTGGTGTTAACAACAATACTGGTACATAGGCCTCTACTTCGACAATTCCTCCGATCCAAAATGTAACACATTATTTACCTATCACTGGGTAGTGACAACTATCTTCTATGGTGTGCTCAGTTTCTTTCAATCTCATGTCATCATCATCTTATGGACTTTGTAGAAGGAAAGAAGAAGGCTCCACCAGAGGAGATACCCAATCCGATGAGCAATGGAACCATAGAAAATCCAAAATATTGGAAGTGGTATGATCTTGATAAGTTGGTTTTAAGTTGACTGATTTCATCTCTTATAGAAGGTGTAGTGGCCCAAGTTGCATGTAGGGCTTTCTACTTTAGCTAAGGAATGGTGCACCCTTTCTAAATCTTATTCCACACATTCTAGATCTCGAATTTTACAACTTAGAAGGTAGTTGCAGAGTTAAAAAGGGTTCATTAACTACAGCCACTTATTTTCAAAAGGCAAAATCGATAACTAATAGTCTTTCAGCTATTTTTGAGCCACTACTCAAATCTAATTTAGCGATTTAGCGTGTGTGTATATATATATATATATATATATATGATCATGAGAATTAGCTAGAAGAACAATGGCATTATCTATTTGATTCAAATACTTCTCCTGCTACAAATCTAACTAGTGTGAAGGTAAAAAATGATATGGGTTTTCAACAAAACATGGGGGGTATTAGCAGAATCATAAGCTCTAGAATTTGTTTGATTAATCATGGTTGTGGTCATGTGAGAGGCTAGAATTTTAAACCACAATAAAGTTTTAATAACCAGTAACAATTCTTTAATGGTGGACATGGTAAGGCACAATTTGTCATCTATCAAATCTGTAACAAATTTGGACATGGTGCACTAACCTATAGAAAGGCAAGGTATGTTTTTGGATTAAATAATGGTACCAACAATGAACCTGTGGCTTAATATAATGGCTTGAATATTTAGGGCCGAACTATGTGAAAGTAAGAAATGGACAAGGTATGTAGTGGTTATTCTTTAATTTTCAATCGGAGAAATTTGTCATGTTCTTTCTATTTGCAAAAATTTGTTTTTTGTAAGTAGATTGACTAAGGATAATGATCTTTTCTTTCTATCTCTTTCCATTAGCTGTTGCAATTATGCATTCATCATCAATTGAGCCTTATGCTCTAAGTGTGATTTACCTTATTCTACGGGTGGCATTAATGTCTTGGTCATGCAACTCTCCATATAGAGTTCAACAAGTGATCTCTAAATATGGTTTACCTTATTCTAGTAAGTTATCTAGTTTTAGTTTTCAGTTTGTGAGTCATGCCAAATGTTAAGAGTCATAGGTTGTCATTACAGCCTTCTTCATATAAGTCTCAGAGTCCACTAGAGTTAGTATTTTTTTGATGTTTAGAGATCTTCCCCAGTTAAGTCTAACAAAGGTTTTTGTTATTATGCATTGTTTCTTAATGTTTTTTGAAATTCTCTTGGATATCTTCTTATGCTTTGAGCGCCATGTTGAAACCTTGTTCAATGCCAAAATCTGCTCTTTTCAATCTTATTGGAGTGGAGAGTATCATAATATCTCTTATTATCTTCATTCTCAACGGATTATTCATAGATTATCTTGCTCTCACACACATGAGCAGAATGGTATAGTTGAACGCAAGCATAGACATGTAATGTAGTTAACCTTTTCTCTATTGGCCTCCTCTAAACTCTTTTTTTTCTTTCTTCTAGGTAGATGAAGCTAAGAGACTGTCATTTACTTGATAAATCAGCTACTTTTCCATCATTACAAGGTTCTTCTCCTTTTTAAAAATTATTTAAATGAGAGTCGGATTATTGTATGTTGAGATGTTTTGGTTGTGATTGTTACTCATTGATGAAACCATACAATGCAAAAAAGTTTTAGTTTCAATATTTGTAATGCATTTTTATTGGTTATAGTAGTTTGCACAAGGGCTATAGATGTCTACATGTGTCCTCTAGCCATGAATTTGTTGGTCGTCATTTTATGTTTGATGAAAGTTTATTTCCTAGCATTCCAACTCCATCTTCTTCTTCATCACGGAATACTTCGATTGGTACATACTTATTTTTTCCCTCATTACTTAATGGTGTTACTACGGCTTCACCACTAACTAGGGTGTATCTAGTTGAATCTTCTTCTACTTATGATGTGCACTCTACCTCACCACCTATAACTACTACTGAGTCTTCATAACTCACTATCTATGCTCCTTGTTTTCACACTATGGATGATCTACTTGCTTGTACTCCAGTTGTCCTACCACCTAATCGTCAACACTTCATGATAACAAGATCAATGGACAACACTCTCCTCTATCAGAATGGAGCCTCATTCTTACTTTGAAGCTATAAAGTCCTCACACTGGCATTCTGCTATGCAACTTGAATTTGATGCCTTGGTATCTAATGGAACATGGGAGTTGGTTCTGCACAATTATTCTATGAATATTATTGGCATAAAGTGAGTCTATAAGATTAAGAGGATGTCTGATGCTTTCTTGACCACTATAAGGCCATATTGGTTGCTCAAGGTGTTAATCAAATTCTTGGGATTGATTTAGTCCTGCCGCTAAACCAACAATTGTTCATATTATCCTTGCTCTGGCCACTCCCAGGAATGGACTTATGGAAACTAGACATTAATAATGCCTTTTTATATGGATTTCTTGATGAAGACGTTTATGTACATCAACTGAAAGGTTTTGAGCACTTGGATTTCCCCACCATGTCTGCAAACTATACAACGCTTTATATCAGCTTCGTTAACCCCTAAGAGCTTGGTACTCTTATCGGATTTTCCCCACTATGTAGATGATGTCATTGTCACCCGCACGTCCTTTGCTTCCATTATTCTCTTCTCTTGAGCCTTTCCTTAGTATTTCCTCTAAAAGCCTTGGGACACCTTACATTGTTTCCCAGGAATAGAGGCCCATTGTAGCTCTTCTGGTCTCCATTTATCTTATAGTGTTATATAATCAATTTACTTCAGTGTACCAAATTGGATGGTGCTAAGACTTATTCTTCTCATTTGGTGGCCTTTGCCCGACTTAGTAAGACCTCTAGTGGTCCTCTTCTTGACCCTTTTAAATACACAAGTGTGGTTTGTGCTCCCCAATATATTACCCTCACTCGACCTGATATCTCCCTAAGGTGTATTAGTTTCTTCAATAGCCAACTAAGGAACATTGTGAGTTGTTAAACGCATACTTCATTATTTGAAGTGTACTCTTGACTATGGGTTGCATTTCTCTCCCTTCTCTTCTTTATAGTTGAATGCATTTACAGATGTTGACTGGGCTAGTTGCCTTGGTGATAATCGCTCTACAAGCAAACTTGCCAGTTTCTTGGGTGATAATCTCATTAGCTGGATCTCTAAGAAGCAGCTCACCATTGCGCTGTAGTACTAATTCAGAGTTCAGGTCCCTTTCTAATTTGTTATGGAGCTCCTATGGATCAAGTCTCTACTTTCTAACTTGGGTTTTACTCCTTCAGTTCCTGTTATCTAGTGTAACAATCTTGGTGCTACTCATCTTGCCACACACTTGGTGTTTCATGCTCGCATCAAGGATGTCGAAGTTGACTTTCATTTTCTAAGGGATCTATGTCTCCCCATAAGCAGTTGCACATTCGGTTCTTTCCTTCACCTGATTTTGCCAATATTCTGATGAAACCTCTTCCCACACCATGATTTGCACTTCTATGGTTCAAAGTTCACATCACACAATTCAGCTTGAGGGGGGTGTGTTGGAGATATATCGGAGTCTAATCTACCAAGGTAATTTGTTGGACTAACTGTTGTATTTTATTTTGGACCATCTTATTTTTCTTGTTAATCTTAAACTCTTGATGTCTTATCTTTAATGGTCCTATGTACTCTCATCTCAGCAAATACTCATCAATTCAGTTCGTTGAGTCAATTTCTACTGTTCGAACTAACAGACTTTGCTCGAAGACTAATATGCTTTCATATTACTCTACATAAAATGTTTGTCTGAAATCTTTGATGACACTTGGAATGCTATCAAGCCCATCATTGCTTAACTAGCTTTTTGGACAATATTTTGTAAAGAAATAACTGGGAGAGATTAAGGCTGTGTTTGGTATCATTGTCACTTCTACTTGCAATGTTTTAGGTTGGTCAATACAAATTTTGTGAGAATTTTTTTTTCTACCACAAATGATTAAAGTTATAAATACAATATTGGGTATCATTGTTATCCTTTGGAAAACATCAAATTTAGTGTTAATTTCTACTGTAAATGCTAACAACTAATCCAATGCCAAGTGGTTATATGATATGATGTAACTAGACAATTTCTCAAAAATTTGTATTGACCAACACAAAACATTATTAGAAGTGACAATGATACCAAACACAACCTAAATTAATCTAGTGACTTGCAAGAGTAAAAGCCATGCATGCTTAGATTCCAATACAAATTTTATGTTAAAGATTCAGGCTACCAGCTTCATATATGCTTTTAAGTGCTTCCACTCTACCTAAAACTAAGAGACAAAGAAGTCCATTAACACTCCCACTACAAAACATCTCGAAGCAGAAAATCAACTATCATCGTTTCGCAGTTGACTTAATTAGAATAATTGGTTGAAGACATCAAAGTTATCGTCATTGTAGAAACCTTCATATCCACAAAAAGGGTCTCCAAAGGAGATTAGAGAAAGTGGAAACATAAGTGGGTCTGCCGTAGTCTCCAGAAAATCTTCATGGATGTAGGAATTTCCTGCCAAAAGTGGTTCTGTCCAGAAGCTGCAAACAGGTTCTGCAAAATTTTCTGGTGAAGCGACATTATCAGCAGCTTTGGACCAGTTTGTGTCAGTTATAACTGAGGAGTAGTCAATGCTCGGGGAAGATAAATCACCGAAAGACTGTTGCGAAGTTGATGGTGAGCTTCTTATTTCGTCCATAGGATCATCTGAAAGACAGGTCCCAGGTTCCGATTCTTTTGTATTATTATTACCTTCGCTTTTGCATTCGGATAGTTCCTCATTGTGGTGCATTTTGTCATTTGATGAGGCTGTAGTAGGTTCTCGATTCAATCGTTTCTTTAGGTTGGTGTGCCAGTGGTTCTTGATTTCATTATCTGTTCTTCCTGGAAGTTTGGTGGCAATCCTTGTCCATCTGCATGCAAATAACGAAGACAAGATTTTCAACATTAATCTAACGCTTAATTATGACAAATGTAAATGAAAATCGATATTCGACCGGATAACTATATTTTTATCAGGTCTTCTTACCTATTACCCAGGGATGCATGCATTTTCATGATGATTTCGTCTTCCTCTGGGCTGAAATGACCTCGTTTGATATCGGGTCGCAGGTAGTTAACCCATCGCAGTCTGCAACTCTTCCCACATCTTGCTAAACCTGCAGAAACAAAACAAATTGAATGATAAGCAATGAATGAAAGGTAGTAATAATCAGAACAGAGAGGAGTATTACAAATACGACGATCGATATTACAATTAAACCAACTGATCATATAGCACCTGTTCTAAGACACTGGATTCTTTGAAACTTTCACTCAGGGAAATACATGTTATGTAGGGAGCATATATATACTGGAAAAAAAAAAATCTTTCGCCGATTCGGAAGAAGAATCTAATAATGCACCAAGTAATTCATAGACCCATATTATATATCTTCTCACAGAGGTGGCAAAATTTCATTGATCAACCAAAGTAAAAGGGAGGACTGAATGACTGATTGTCTGTATTATCAAAGAAAGAGAGTATAATCTAATCGAGTTCGAGGCCTGTAAATTAAAGCCTGTAAAACGAAACCCAAGACAAGCTTCCTAAGATGAATTATCCTAATTGGTTAAAAGATGGATCTTCTTTAATAAAATTACATGTTCTCCTACCTGCAAATCTCGGAAGCTCACGCCAGTTCCAATGGCCATATCGCTTAATATAAGCTGTTAATTTCATATCTTCCTCCGGAGTCCATGTTCCTTTCTTCAGTCCCGTTTTCTCACAATAACCAGTCTTCGCCATCTCCGAGAACACCGACAAGAGTATCTCCAAGTCCAAGATATATCCGGGTTCTCCAAGCTCGAATGCTCAATCTCTTCTTCGTCCAAGAGAAAGTTTATTTATATATATATAGATAGAGATAGAGAGAGAGAGAGAGTAGGATGCCATCAAAAACGTGTTTCAAAGTATTTAGAACGCCATCGTTTTCAGGGTGCTGCCGGGGTCCCTCCTGGAAGGTGCAACTAATATTTGTTTAACCATCTTCGATCGGCATGGAATTTTTGGCGAGAGACAAGACTCCGTTATTATGGTCAACGAAAGAAATAGCTAATATATAGGGTGATAGGCTGATAGCAGGCACGTGGAATTACTCCAAGTGGAGTAGCTCAATTCTTCCCCATCTTCTGTGCTTCATCCCATGCGGGCCCTCTTTTTACATAGATGAGGTAATTGATCCACCAAATGAATTAATTATATATTAACTCTCTATTTGATAACCTTATCAGGCAAGCACATACTGTGACCGGATAGAAATGGTGATTAATTGAACAAAACCGATATTGATCAATTATGGAACTAATATCGTAAGTTATGCAGTTATTAATAATCCACCAAAGTTATAGAAATCAGACTTAATATATACCAAACAGAAAAACTTTAATTATTTTATTTTTTCTTCAAAGGAAGTAAGGAAGAAAAATTACTAAAAGGGTTAAGTGTGAAGGAACTTAATATATAGACCCTTTTATACGTATTTACTCCAATTAAGTTAATTAAATATCCAAAAAATGGAAAAAAATGTAAATACAAACAGTTAGAAAGGGGTTTCAAGCCAAAACCAGCAAACATGTGCATGGCAAAGGGTTTCATATATATTAACTGAATCATATGTAAATTAAAGACCCATTAACATGGTTCCACGTCACATGGAACCTGGGGCATACATGGCATAGGTAAATTAATTTGTCTGCTTCCAAAAGTAATTAATTAGGAGGTTGGTTTGTAAGCCGTCATGGTCACCCCATATTCTGTCCCCCCCAAAAGAGCAATTAGTCGGATATAATTAAGCACACTTTTTGGCAAGTTTTTGGTCTGGAATCAAATGGATTATTCTGATTCCAACTGTTTGGTTGGGCGGAATTGGAATTTCATTCTCATTTCTACTGGAATGGTATTCTTCAATTTGAAGGAATGGCCTTTCTTTGCCCCTTTCTTAGGAATGAAATCCCATTCCTGTGAATTTTAATTCTCATTTTCATTCCTATCTGAACCAAACAAACTATAGAAATGGACCATTCCTATTCCAATTCTGAAGGATTCTAATTCCAATTCTGACTACCAACCAGACTCTAATTTTGATACAGATACAGCAGCAGCACTGCTGCAAATGATATCCACCGTGCTATTATTTTATTTCTACTAAATATTGCCATTCACATTGTGCCTTACCTATGACAGTTGCAACGTTTTTCTTACGTGCTTCAAGGATGATGCTTAGAAAGCCAATATAATATATAGAGAGAGAGAAAGAGAGAGAGAGCCAATGGCGATGACGATATGGTACAACCTGTTCTTATTTTGGAGTGAACGAAAAAATCAAAATATAAACCTTCTGGAATAAAAGGAAATTATTGCACATTTTCTGCCCAAATAATTCAACTCTTTTCCACTAAATTTTGGTTAAAAAAATTGATAATATAGTTGATCTTAGTTCATGATTTGGATGACCCATATCGATACAATTTAGATCTTCAATGTAATTTTAAAGGCCATGATTAAGGGTTAGATATGCCACATAAATGGTGCATGTGTATGGTTGATTTTTGGCACATTAATGCCCTACACTGAGAGGGCACGTTACTGCAAGTCTTATTCTTGGAATGTCACTTGGGCAGTCTAAAGTCTTTGATGCCAACACATGAATTAGACAGTTGATCTTGAAAGCTGAATTTGATTGGAAAACTACTTCAATATAAATATAATGGCGGCAATCAAAAACTGAATATCGCACAATGCTTTGAAGATGATAGAAATCTTTTAAATTATTGATAGAGTGATAGAAAGTTAAATATAGAAGAGTGGACTTAGTTTCTGATTAATTAATTATGCATTGGTATCTTTTATTGTTGGAACCTCCACGTGTATTTGAATTTTGAAATAGGTTATATGTTCAGCAAGAGTAGAAGATATACATAGAAAGCTATAGGTTTTCACACCAAATTTGAATACTTGACACAATTTTCAACGTCAAGCAAGAAAGTTAAGGAGTGCCAGTACAATAATTGACCCAGGATTCTTCTATCTGACACAACGTTGTATGGGTCCAAGAGGTTCCATATGTTCTTCCATTTAATTCATTTAACATAAAAACTTTACCTTCTACCCTCAAATTTAATTTCCCAATCATTCTCTTAAATTTCAAGTGGCCCAAGGCCAACAATGAACGATTCTGTGCAAGCAAATACATGTCATAGAGATTAGAGGCCATTACCAAATGTTTCTTTTTTTTTTTACTATTAATTAAATGCACAAAGTGGCTGCACTGCAATTTATATCTATCAAATGTCCAAATAATTTGAACCAGGATTCAAATAATTAAGGTCACCTCATCCATATGTGATATGTGGTTAATTTAATAATTTACAAACATCAATTGTCCTCCTCCTAATTAAGGGTTCATAGAAATTCAATAAGCTAAAAATGACTTCCGTATGTTGGGATGAGGGGTAATTTGGCACGACCTATTAAATAAAGGTTATGTGAATGTGATCTACCCATAGGATGATAATTCAATAAGAGGAGTCTAATCAGCAGTGAACTCGAGTGTTCAGTCATCTCAATACAAAGTCACCTCGGCATATAGAGTTACCTCGGTATAAAGTAATCTTGGCACCGAGTCACCTTGGTACAAAGCCACCTCGGCATAAGAGTCACCTCGATATAGAGTCACTTCGGCACCTAAGGCAATTCGGGGTCCAGGAATCAAAGTGACACATAATCGACTCCAGAAGCTTCTCAGTGGACTCCGAACCTCCCAAGATCATGTCGTGTAAATGGCAGGCCTTATCCTCTCCCCGCCTGGATCGAGGGTAACGATAGACTTCATTGACTGATACGTTACTCCCCGGCTAAAGCGGGAGAAGATCTCATCTACTCAGGCTAAAGATCTCGGAACCGTTTCATGAGACCGATGGCAGCTCAGCTATATAAAGGCATCAACCCTTCTAGGGCCCACGTATGCGCAATTACTTACATTCAAGCTCTCTAGCATTCAAGCTTTTAGCTTGCAACCACAACCAGAATAGAATAATAACTTAAGCATCGGAGCGACCTCACCAACCTCAACCATCTTCTCATGGTACTCTGCCGAAGACTTATGATCCTCGACAACCTTGGCCTTGGCGTCCTCCATAGCTTGAAGGAGAATTTCAGTCTACTACAAGCACCTCGAGGTTCTCGTTCTCTCTCTTCAGGGCCACTTCGTGCTCCTCAAACTGGTTCTTCTCTATTTCAAGCTCCTTCTTTGCAATCAACAGAGTTAAGAGCTCCTTCTTGGCTCGCGCATCGTTTTTCAGCTGGTTGATCCCACTACGAGCTAAGTTGAGCTCGGAGTGGGCACTTCGGGAGGACTCCTCAACTTCGAGGGCTCACTTTAAGTTAACCTCGAATTGGTAGGCCAAAGCATGGATCGAGGAGTTCACTTGCCAAAACAAGGAAACAAGTGTAAGTATGAAGAAAAATCTAAGTATAAAGCAACCCAAAGAATAGAATACCTACCACCATGCAGTGTGTGGCCACTCTAGCCCCGAGTTGAGCGACCGGTAAGTCAGCCCAACAAGCTACCACCTCGACGAATACCACATCCTTGCTTTTGAGGAGGACGAACTTCGGAGTCAGTATGCTCTAAGCAGAAGTATCGTTACTCAATGGAGTGGTGGTCGCCTACATGGGCTAAGGCTCAGATAATGTGGTCTCCTTAGGCATGCGAGGCGGAGTAGCCTTGTCTTGGCCCTCCTCAACCAAGTCAATCATGGGAGGTTGTTTGGCGACTGGAGGGTGCTCGGGGACGGAGGTGCCAATGTCAGAGGTGGTGGTCTCGGTGTAGAGGTGAGTCTTCTTGGAGGCCCTCTTCTTCTTCTTCCCCTTTTGCATTTTCCCGAAGAGCTCGTTGGCGAGGATGTCATCCATGGTAGCTGCAAAAGGATAACGAACCGAGTTAGATGCAACATCAAAGTAAAACAAACAAAGAGAATAAGGTACAATAGTTGGCGACCTACTAGGAGGGCTTAGACCGGCTTGTGTGAGTTTCTCCTTGTCTTTGGGTCTAATCTGACGCCAGGGTCCTAGATGGCTGCCCTCTTAGTGAGTCAAGAAGGGACACCGCTCGGTGTTATGGACCACGAAGGAGCGTCTCTTCCAGGTCAGGACTTTGTTAGGGAGCTCGTGCAGTAGCTTGTACCCGGGGCGAGAAGACATATAGTAACTTCGCCTGTGCTCGGGTAGAACACAGGCCGAGTTCTTCTTGATGGAAAGGATCGAGGAGAAGATGTCAAATTATAAAGGTCGGTTGTAATCGTGGAAAAGGGAAATGGTACCTACAATGTTACGGATGGAGTTCGGGTGTAGCTGGTCTATGGCAATGTCCAAAAACTTAACGACTTCGACTATGAAAGGGTGGAGTGGAAGACGTAACCCGACTACGAGCTGCTCCTCGAAGACCATGATCTCGTCATGACCGTGATTCTAATGAAAGTTGCATAAGGGAATACTATATACAAAGTCATTGGAAAGTCTGTACCGAGCTACTAAAGATAGGAGCCTGCCCGTTGTCATTGTAGACGGACCAAAGTTGTCTGGTAGGCGACCTCGGTGTAAGGTGGAGGCCGACTTGCTAGAGGTTTCTCACTCTCGCCGAGGTGAGTATGCCTCAGACGAATTAAAGTCCACATCTTGTGCTGAAGTGCCCACCTCGGCAGGATGAGGCTCTATGGTCTGTGCCGAGGTACCCACCTCGGCCTCAGCGGACTCACCGCTCCCATCTAGAAGAATATCTAAGCTAAGACTAGACATACTAATGGAAAGG